CGGACAATAATAATCTTATAGGTATATAGGTATATAGGTAACCGCACACAATTATTTTATTAATTACGGGCAAAAAAACGAATACAGTATAATATGACGTCTTTGTATTATGTGTATAATATATTAATAATAATAATAGTTAACTCAAATTTAGAATTGATTTTTTTTCCACTTAAACAATATAGGCGTACACGTCATGTGTACGAATAAACACACTATAGGTATACAACAATAATATAACAACATGAACATCAACAACATGAACAACAACAAAAGCAACAACAACAACAACAACAACAACAACAACAACAACATCAACAACAACAATAATAACAAGAACGACAACGACAGTGAAAAAAAAACCCCAAAACAAACCAAGAGTTTAAAACTATTTTTGTCGATTTTATATTATTACATCGTTACTGGTGGATGAGGACCTGCACCGTCGTCGTCTTCATATTTTACCTTTAGCAGACGTTCGTACATTAGTTTGTTATTATTTAGAATATCGATATTTTAGCATAATATTATACAGGTGGGGGAAATAATATTGTACATAATTTATTACGTCTGAACCGCCGGTTAGAAATCGCCATCGATCGATTATAGATCGTTTTCGAGAGGGATTTGGGATCGTTGTGCCGCTGCGCCCAAAACGTGCACGCGAAGGACCGAAATTCAGTCCCCAAAGGTTTCGCCTAAAGAGAGTTCGGATGTCCCACGAGTCGCAGACAGAGAAAGTGATTTTTTCATCCTTCAAAATATGTAATAAAAAAAGAGCCTACGGCCTAAACAGCTTGGTCGCAGATGTAACCTCTTCTTCTCTTTCATTCGTATTTCCTCAATCACGAACCCTTTAAGTGATATTGAAGCGACCGTATATGGATTTCTGAGTTGGGGGGAATTCGGGAAAGAGTCCTATTTTCTACTATTTTCTGATGACCTGTTTTTATACTTTGGAAAAATTAAATTTGTTGTATATATATATATGATGTGACATAATTAAGCAATTTATTGATGAAAATATAAACGTAGCATATACATATATATACATTATACAAAAATCATCCAAAAAGTAAAAAATATTAACCAATTTAAAACACTTCTAACTTACCGCATTAATGTCGCGAGAAATTAAATTTAATAAAAACGGAACGGTTACTCTCATTTTATTCACGCACGAATATAGGGTGCAGGGAACTAGGAATTCGGAACAAATTCAGACGAGCAATAAAAATTATAACAAATTTACTAATCTTACCTATTTAATATTATTATTATAATATTCATGCCGGGGTAAAATTATAACAATAAAATAACAAAACGTTACGACTCACGCTATATCATAGATAATAGCTTTTATTTAACTTTTTTACTAGAGACATTGTTTTCGTGTTCTTTTTTTTCTTAACGAGAGATGTATTTCTTAAGTCTGAGATAACCATGTTGGCTCGAGGAACACCGTAACAACTCATAATTATACTAGAATTTGTTCGACCTGAGATATAATATACATATAGGTAGGTATCTTTATTTTTGGCTTGCGAAAGCATTTTGGAAATTGTTAAAGGCACGTATTTATGCTAGAAGAGAACAAAATTAAGCTGCAATACATACGATTGTGTCATATATTGCACACCGGAAATCATTGTTCATTGCGAGCGTTTTCCGGAGTGAATAAGTTATGTACCTATACTTATACGACTTCTTGTATATTTGATTGTTTTTGGACTTTTGCATCTTATATTTGGGGGTGAGACTATTATAATATAGTATATTAAAGTTTAATATAAAACAATAGGTATAATTTACAATTATAGCAAAATTTAATAGAGCAAAAAAAAAAAAAAATAAACGAAAAACAAGATCGATAAATTTGTATTTTTCAATAACATATTATAACATCGTAATAATATATATAATAATAAGTCATATTATTATTACAGTTGTACAATATTATTAAAAAAAAACATTTTTGGCAGTTGCGATCTCAGATCTGACTTAGGTACGCGCATTTTTAACGTATGCGTTCGTGTTTTAAATATACACTACGGAAAACATTTTATACAAGATTATTTTAATATAATATTATTTAGATACACATGTAGAAGACAATTTTTTTTATACCATACTAGACACATGTTATAATATATTTATACGATTTATATAGTAATGTTAGTTATACATATTTTAAAGAAACCCTGGTAAAATATGTACACGAAAACAAAATTCAATAACAACGATATACAATATATTATGTTATAATATATTTTAATATCATATTTGTATACTGCACCAAGAACTATAGTAAAATAGTAAACATAACAATATAATATTAATAATAATAATCATAACCTACAGCAGAACATTGCAATTATTATTAATTGATATTATATTCATTGGCAATAAAAGTGTTTTAAAATATAATTTTATTCCAACGGCTGGCATAGGTACACACGAGCAGCATGATATTCACGGAACATCATTGGTCGACTAATGGTTTTTGATAAGCAGAAAAGCATAGCGTTCGTAATGCGTGCCCGGCGGCGGACTCATATTATATATTATTATTATTATATGGGACACGAGAATTACATTTTCGGTTGTCTAACACCCTGTACACGTAGTACAACTACCCTACACGATCTCGAGACCTGCTTACGACCTCGCAATAAAAAGGAAAAACCTGAAGGATGTTGTTTTTTATGAATATTATTTTTTGTTACCCGCGTCGAAAAATATATCCCAGTCGTCGTCGGCCGCGCGACGAATATACGAATAAAGTCCAAAAGTCGTTTGTGTGGCGAAAAAGCGAAGTGGAAAAATAAAAAAAAATGACGGTAAATGACATTATAAAATCGGTGTCGGTGAAATCACCACCACACGCGGGACAGAGATACATAGACAGAGAGAGAGAGAGAGAGAGAGAGAGAGAGAGCGGAAAAATAAAAACGACACGGAAACTCACGTATTACATTATATAGAGAGAAAAACGTCGTAAGTCGATTCGTTATCGGAAACGCACGGCGAGGAGTGTGTCGTTGTCGTTGACGCGCGTAGGTACCTATACGAATTGTAAAATATTTTTTTTTAGGGAATCGGGAACGGAATAGAGAAACTACGTGATCGAGATTGTTTATTTGCACGGGATTGAAGGAAAAAAATTGAACCGCCAGAAGCGCAAACACTGCAGGCGAGAGAATATTACACGCCGAGGGTAGGAAAGATTATAGAGTGTATTACCATGTCGTCGATTTGATATTATATAAGACGAAATCACTAGTGAAATAAGTACACACACATCGATTTGCGTTTTCGAAATAGGGAGTAAGTGCTCGCCGGACGCTGGTGTTTATCTATTTTCGTGGCACGGCAGTGCCAAACGAATAATAATAATAATAATAATAATAATAATAATAATAGGCAACCATTTTAACTTCGCCCTTATAATATTATACGATTTTAGTATTTTACTATTACGTTGTTTTGATATACCGACACAATTGTTTTTTACCTCGCCAGAGATTTGATTTAAAGTTTAAACGTAAGCGCATCAGACACACTCACGCAAAGCGGCAACGGCTAAGAGCATCGTCTGCAGAGATGGTATTGTGCTCGTTGTGGTTTAGGTGGTGGTGGTGGTAGAGGGGACCTCTGGGGCTTACTGAACTGGAATAATTAATTATGCCTGGAAATCGTGTGACGAACGCTAAATGATAAATTCAGTGACCCAGAGACGTGATCCATCATCGGAGTGCTTTTATGAGTCTAATATATTATTATTATTATTATTGTAATACACGTGACGGGGTATTTTCAAAGAAAATTTTCAATGGGAATATTAATTCATGTGAACCAAGAAATAATTTTGACCACTGCTGTGTACTACCCTATCAAATTGTCGCTTATTACGACCATGTACTAGTTCTCCTCAAATTCGTCTTTACCATAATATTATATTGTTATTGATTGTTACAAACACATTGGTGGTGGTGAATTAAAAGAAACAAATAATACCAATTAGGTATCAACGCTGTAGCAATTTTTCGGGTGTGGCGGAGGATACGGCATTGTCTATATATTATACCGTTGTTGATTTCTATTTGCATTTTTTCAGTAATAATATTGTTATCGTCGGTAAACTATATATAAATTTGAACACACAGTCTCGTATGAACGTGTACCTACCTATATTGCAGTACACGTATACATCTACAGGTGAGCATCCCAGCCTAACTTAACCAGGCGCGGATCCTGGAGGGAGAGGCAAGGGGCTTTAGACCCCTACCCATGTGAAAATGCTATATATTAATATAAATACAATTTTTAATGTATTATCATAAAATCTTATCTATAATCTATTATGTAAGTACCTACTAAAATTATAATTTTATTTTTCTAAAAAAAAATGTAGCATCCCTTAGATTTCAGATTTCTATAGATCCGCACCTGAAATTAGCCTAATAACCAGAGCCGGCGGTTACGACGTCGACGCATATTCTTATATGCATTATTATTGCTGACACTTGAACGTCATGAAACAACACAACAACAATAATAATGACAATTGTTATTTGTTGTGTGTTGGGGGGGGGGGGTGGCCATAGGCTACATTCGCACAGAAATTTACAATATCATATAATATTCACAATAATAAAAACAATACATTTTACGGGACGATAATCGCGTTACAATCGCCGCTGTCATGCCGCCGGACCTTTAATCCCGCCCTGCTCCGCCACTTGACCATTAAGTGGACGGCGACGACGACGGGTCGCGGAAACCGGACAGGAGACCGCCGAGCGACGCAGTGGCGTAATTAGGAATTTGGTTGGGGGGGGATATACGTTTTTAGAAAACATGAATGGTTATTATCAATACATTGATCAAAATGTTAGCAGTAAAAAAAAAGTTTTGGGGGATCTATCCCCTAATCCCCCCTAATTAAGCCCCTGGAGCGACGGTCCTCCGGCGGCGACGTCGGCAGCGCGCGATCTACGTCAGTGTTTGTATTCGGGAAAATATTTGTTGTTGAGCAGCACGGACCGTTCGTGGGCCGCGGTCGGGGTTGAGTCGGGGTGGTTGTTGGCTGAGGAGGAGCGTTGTTGTTGTTGTTGTTGTTGTTGTTGCTGTTGTTGTTGGTGGTGATGGTGGTGGTGGTGATGTTTGTTGTTGCTGCTGCTGCTGCTGCTGCTGCTGCTGTTGTTGTCGGCGGCGGCGGTGATGGTTGTGTTGTTGGCGGTGGTGGTGGTGATGCTGGTTGTGGCGGTGTGGGTGTCGTCGGGGGCGCCGCTTCGCCGCTGCTGGCACCGGGGCGACGGCGAATGGCCGCTGCCGCTGCTGGTGGCCGACGGCGGCGGATCGTACCCGGAGCGGTGTTGGTGGTGCGTCGAGGACCGGCGACTGCTCCGGGCGCTGCTGCTGCCGCCACTGCGGGCGGCCGCCGGCTGTCGGACGCCACTGTCGGCGATGGCCGCGACCGCCGGCATGTCCATGCTAGCCGACCGCGCTATTGGTCGACGAGCTTCCGGGGGAACGGAAAAAAGAGAAAGCACAAAAACCAAACGTTTATTAATCACACGCGAACGGCGCGACATTAAAATAATATACTATGATTATGATTTATGACGATGGTGGGTCGCCTTTTGAGTGACATGAACCGGGTTTTCCCTACAGCAAGTCTATAAAAGTCGAGGTTCTATGTACGGAAAAGCAGAGCGAAAATAGGAACTTCAGGGGAATTTAAGAAAAAATTCTGTAGCTGTTAGCTAACTCCCCGACCGCCACTGGACCGTATTAAATGGACATCACCCACGACCGTCCACTGTACTATACCTAGTACCTATATAATATCATAGTTCTTGTATACCGCTATGATACCACTAATATAATATATTGTTTGAAATTAATAGTAGCATAATTAATATTTCATAATTAGACGTAAACGAATAATAAAAAAAAAATACAAGAAAATCTCCCAACGATTTTAACGGTACTATGTTTTTATTGAAAAAATTTAATTAAAAATATTACGGAAAATAACTAAACACTTTTTTGCACTTTTAATTCTTTATTAAATATTTAGAATATTAAATATAAAGATATATATAAGAAATATATTGAACATTTTTGGAAGCACTTTGATATAAAAATATAAAATTTTGGACTGGTCTATGATTTATAAGAATTAAATAAGGAATATTATTATGATTATAGATAAGCGAAGTGAAATGAAACAGGGTTATCTCTCAAAATGTTGGTCCACTGCTCCGCTAGTCTAAACTTTAAATAATGACAACTAATAAACTACTTGTCTGAAATTTGATTTTGATAGATTGAAAATTGGAATACTCTGAATAATATTCTGCTTCAGAATATAAAATTTAAAAAGTACCTATATTGTCATTCAAACGAGCAAAACTCTTTTTAAATTTTTTCCAAATATGTTGTTTTGAAACGACTTAAAATATGATGTAAAAGAAACATTTTCAAAACCGTCAGTGGTTTCTGAAATAATGAGTGTCTTAAATGGATAGGGTGTACGTCGTGACGTCGCGTAATCATATTGTTTATTGAGACGAAATGTGTTCTAAAAAAATTAATATCATACATATATTATAGTAGTAATAGGTAGGTAGGTAATATATTTATTTATTTGGAATAAACGGCCAGATTTGATACCAGAAGAATAAAACGGTCCCTCTGACAGCGATGTACCCGAAAGTCCTATCCAGAATGGTGGAATGCCTCGTCATATCATAATATGATTTCGCTATCAAAACGCATTTAAAAAAAAATTATCACCGATAGAATATTATTTTTTTTTTACCTCAAGGACCTAATTATCGATATACGACTTCTTTGTATATAGAACTCGGTCTTACAGAAAGTGAACATCATAATTATTATGATAAAATATTACTATGTTAACTATAATATAATATAATAATATATAATATTACTACGGGCTACACTGCTACAGTTTGTAAACAATATTATAATAATACTCTCTAAGTTAAAGTTACATAATATTACATTATACCTATTATTATAATATAATAATATAGGGGACGGACCGCCCTGAGGTTTCCCGTTGCACTTATTTGTCAGTTGCTTTGCGGATAAACGGGAAAAAAAACAGTGGTCCATCCCATATACATATTATACCTAATAATATATTTATTTATTTTATACAGCAGCTGTGGGCGTTTCGTTTTTTTCCATTTCTTCTTTTTGGTTTTTTTTTGCACAACCGCGAAATTCGGTCGGAAACGACACAGTCGATTAACTGAAAACCGATTTATTTGCTGGTATATGGTATATTATGTTTGAGTTATTGCGGTAGTAACAAAACGAGAAGGAGAAGAAAAAAAACAAAACGATCACGCTCGTGGTTCTCAAAAAATCTACTCGTGTTAATAATATATTTTTATCATATACACATAATTTTATATTATATACAAATCATAATTTATCGATGGTGGTTAAGCATATTTCCGAGGTCACGTCAATATTGCATACGTGGATGGATTTAAATATTATGCGTGTATTAGAACACAGTAATGGCTTGGCCAATATTTTAGTAATTCGAGCAAAATTTATCGGCAAATATTTCAGTAGTCATAAATATCGGTAAAACAAACATTTCATTATTGCTTTTCAATGTCATATTAAATAAATCGTATTATAATATACTATATCTGTATGAAAGTAAAATTATTTAGAAATTTAAATCACTTGAAAATTGTTCTATAAAATACGAGTATAATAACCATTACTTTGAAAAGTTCTAAGTTGCATGTAACCTATCAGCCATTTAATGTTTTGCATAGACCACCACTCAATTATAAATACATACACGTACACATATTATACAGAGTGATTTATTAACGCACACACTCATATTATTGGTTCATTAGAAAAATATAGTTACTACATTTTTTTTTGAAATAAATACATTTTTTTTGTATCTTAGTCATTTACTATTACATTTTTTTTAAACTCCAAACCAATCATCATATTGTTTGATAAATGACGGAATATGAAATGAAAAATTATCATTTCATAGAAAGCCACGAACTGGACCAGTGAAAATCGGGACTTGTGGCGTTAAATGAACCAGCCTGTACATAATATAATATAATACTACTACTCTATGTTTCGGGAACTATAATATTTTAAGTGCGGGTATGTATTTATAATGATAATAATATGACGTATAAACAATAAAAAAATATAATATACAAGGTGATTCACTAAACATTTTTATCCCTTTTCTCTTCTTCAATAATGAAGTTCTTAAAAATCTGTTTTTAAAGTTTTTAAAATAATCCAGTGAATGAGAAGGGGATTTTCATTTGAAAAATAGAAGTTGGAATCTCCAAGCAGAACACTCCTTAAGAGATCTCAAGAATTTGAAAATATTGCCTTTGATTATGTTTAAATATTAAAAAAATCATATTTGAACAACTGTCTTGTTGAAGAAGTAAGAGGGGGTGAGCATGCTTGGTGAATCGCCCTGTACGACGATTAATTATCATAATATTATGCAATTAGCGCCTATGACGGGTTTGTGCATGTGGTGCATACCTTTCGCTGTCGGGGGTATTACACGCGTTCCGACAGGAGGGCGGGTGGTCTGCCGATTCATAGATGCTTTCCTCACCTGTTGTCGAGTGTACGGTGGCCGACGACGCCCGGGCGGCCGCCTGTTGGTACGGCGACGCCGAGCCGCTGGTCGCCCTACTCGCCGGACGGTACCAGCCCCTCACGAATCTCGGTTCTTCGCATCTGCGGAAAACGGCCGGGGGTGAACAAAAAATAAAGATCATACTCGTTGCAATAATCACTCGAAACGCCATATTATAATAATTATTATAAACCATAGGGGGCGTAGTAAATCGAGGGGGTGGCTTACGTTTTTGTGGTGACTCTCCTTTCATCCCTTTATGTAATGTATATAGACTAATTGTTATTACCACGGAGACAACCTTGACGGCCACACGATGACGATATAGTATTATATTTTAAGACATTACATATACGACGATTTAGGGAAGTTCTCACGAGGGGAGGTGGGTTTAGGGTGTCAATGAGTCATATCACCCCTCAGCTTATTTTTATGTATTAATTTCTAATAATTAATTTTCAAATTTTTCTATAATTTTTCAGTGTGATTTTTAATTTTTCATAATATAAATCATGTTAATGATAAGTGATAACAATGAAATTCATGATGAAGTAATGAAAGCATTTTATATACCCCCATCAAGCAGTGATTTACTACAAATTCATCTTCTACACTATTAAAGGTATATTATTATAATTAATCAGCACCTGAGGGTATTCAAGAATATATTTAATTTTTTTCGTTATAATGTGTTAGAATGGTTAAAAATGCATACCCTCTCTTTCAAAAAAGCTGAGCACGCCACTACTATGATTTCATACGTCATAAAGGACACGATATGATAATATACCCAATATTATGATTAATTTAGGACTAAGATTTCTGTGCTTTAGTATATATTCCCCCCTTAGTTCAAATACAGTTGGGTGTCAGTTATATTAACTTTTGGCTAACACTATATTGAATAGATCAATATTTTTCTTGAATATTTCTTATCAAAATGCATAAGATTGCATACTAAGAGTTTTTGAGAATTTGAAAACCCTAATGTAAAATCGTATTCATCTAATGACTATCCGTTATTATGATTGTTTTATATATTACGTAATAAATATACTATTTATAAAATTACATGGTCGGTTATATCGAGTAAAAGATGAGATTTGATTTTAATACGTTTGTGGAGTGTGGTCGTTCATAAGTTAATTTAATCCAACTAACAATGAGAGGGTTTGCTTAAAATATTTCATATTATTACGTGACATTTAAAGTAAACATTTGTTGAAACTTTTTCAAAGAATGGTCGAGATGTAAGTGAAAGTGCTAAATTAACACAATTTTTTGAATATTATTTAGTCAGGTTTAAAGTACTGATGGTAAAATACTTTGTTGTGTTGTCTGCGATAAATTTTCACATGAAAACGAAAACTGAATGAGGGTAAATCTAAAATAATTTTTATTTTTGAATATTTTTAAAAATAAAATGCTTAAATTACCATTTTTTTTCGAATTTAAATCCTAGATCTAAATCGACTATATTATTATAATACAATGACGTGTGTTAAATCTGAGTAAAAATAATCACCCGGGATGCGCGTCATGTCTGTAGTGTCTATCGACTTCTGTTTCGGACATCCTGTTTTCTTCGGAGCCAGATGGACTGTGCCTTACGGTGTGCTCTTGAATTTGTTTGAACAGGTCTTCGAGATTCCGTATACGGATTGTGGAGGAAACCTCTTTAGCGGTCTCTTCTTCGTCTTCCGGAGCTTTATTAAACAGATTATTATTATAATTAGACATCAGGTACCTACTTGGGTGTGATTTAAAATCGTGAAAGTATTCATAATACGCACCGATATCTGTTCGCCTGCTGGGCCTCCGATATGGATGTCTATGACATGTCGGCGCTCCACTTTCAGACAGAACGGTATGACTTTGAGGAAGTCCATGCCCTAAAAAACACATTTCATTGATACTTACAAAAATATTAAATTAAATTATGGAACCCGAATAAAAGTTTCAATTTAAGTTTAATTAATTATGTGACTTATTACTAATACAGTAATACGCATACATAATACATATTTTATTGAATTTAAAGTTCAAAAACGTTTAGGTAAAAATTAAAATAATTATAAATAAATACATAATTTAATTTTACTAACTGTCTTCACACAATCTTTCTTGACTAGCTGTAATACGATTGTAAGCCGATTCGGCAGTTTCAGTCAAGGTGCGCCATAATAGGTCTTCACTACTCGACCTGGCACCGGACGATGATCTATGGGCAGCGGTACGAAGTTTTTCCAACAAGTCTCCGTGGTAACCATCAAGTGATTTGATTTTCCGTTCCATGTCAGAAATACTTACAGACCCCGGAGCTAGACCACAACTGCTTCCACGTCCACTCATGTGAAGGTTTTCTATAATGAATAATTCAAATATATAGTCCTCGGAGTTCAAAGACCCCTTAAAAATTGTTCAAACTGTCGAACATGATTCGCGCGATGTGTTGAAAGTATAATGAAACTTTTACATTTTAAAATAATATATGGTCAAAACAGTTATTTTTTGCGCACTTAAAGTTAAATACACTAGGGTATTAGATTATAGGATGAACAGACAGAACTGTGTTGGAAGTTAGAGAAGTTTAAACAAACGAGTAATGTCGGTACTCACAAAATATTGGTGACAATATAAAATATATTCAGAGGTATATAGAACGTTCAACAAGTTGAATTCACAACGATGAAATCTCTTGGGGTAATAATAATATACAATCATAAGTAAAATAAAAATAAACTTGCCTTGGACGTTCATATCGTCTTCATCGTTAGGGCACAGGCCTAATCTGGACAAGTTTTGTGACTTATGCTCCCTAAAAAAAATATATATATATATATATAATATGTACAACAATTCTTAAAATAACTGAAATAAATAAAAGAAAGATACGTTTATAAATATTTATGATACACTTACATGGAAATACCAGAAGTGCTTGGGGACATATGATTTGTCGAATGAAATAGCATTTTATGGGATCCAGTTTCTGAGCGACTATAATAAAAATAAATTTAGATTACATTATAATATTATTGTTTAAATGCGTACGATATTGATTTATACAACATAAAAATATACCTAAGATTTCTAACTATTTATACATACTATATTGTGCAAAGTTTGAACCATTAAACTGTTATGAACTCTCCTTATAAAAGGCTTAGAGATTTAATATAATAATAATTAGTTCATACTACACTGTGTGGTAGTTTCTTAGAGGGAAGGCGAGAGAGAGAAAGAGAGAGAGAGAGAGAGACACACACAGACACACACACACACACAGGTAATTTACATCCTTCTTCTCGGGTCCTACCTAATCTAATAACTAATAAGTATCTAGTTATAACATTTAAGCCGTTAGACCAAAACCTAATATCAAAGGGGTGAAGAACACATGGCGTATTCGGTACAGTTCTAAGCTCTCGACTGTATTACAATTATTATGCCGTTGAAGATTAATACAGTTTTGAAATCTAGTGTTTACATAATATCAAAATAATTGCCCAGAGCTACTTAACTACCAACCGCAGCAGCAAAATGAAGTAGGCAGGCATAATATTATTTTAACGTTATTCCTATGATATATACTAACTCTGCAAAGTTGTATTATTATGTGAAGCGTATTTACTTGTATGGCGATTGGTTTCCGTATTTATTAATTCTGTTTATGTTGACCATTGCCATTTCTTCAGCTGACTCTTCGGAAGGAGCGTCAAATCTGGACGGTTTCGATACGGGGGTTGTATTAATCGACTGCTTTTGTTTGTCCACCGCTTGTTTTTCACTACTCCTCCTATGCGATTTTTGTACGCAAAAAAAAGATTTCATCATTGAGCGTACTAATAAATGCTTGCACATTATTGAATATTACACGTACCTACGTAAATAAATTAAAAAACTACCAAAAGCGCATTAGTACATGCTTAAGTTTATCATTCCATGCACAAATCGCACTACTGCGTGATGACTATAATATAATATAACTACATGGTTGGTGCTACAATGATTATTTTTGTACTTTTCGGGGCCTGTTAAATTACTTATCGGGACTTTATATCGGTGGGCTCGCTTCATCATTATCACATTAGGTAAAAAATATTATGTTTTGAAATAATTAATTAAAATATAAGCCATTATGGTTTCTACGCGGGACATTTTTCATGAGAAACTGTACTTTTTAAAATTTTTTTATCGGAATTAAATAAATAACATACTTAGGACATGACATAGCTTGTTAAAATTATTGGAATTTGTTGTAAAATATAATATTATAATATAATATATCAATAATTCTTAATAATCAATAAGAATTAGCACAAATCGTTTAGAGTTTTGTGTTCTTATATTTGTTTATTTTTAGCGATTTTAACTAATAATTTTTTTGTGATTTGCTTCTTGAGAAAATGTTAATATGAGACGAGTGTTATTTAATAAGTAACTCTCCGTTTGTGTAATATGAATTTCTGTGTAAGTTTCTTGTGTCACGCACATGTTGCTCGAACTGTTAGTGAATTCAAGTTTTCATTAATGCACTCGAGTAGAAAGTATAATGGGTTAACAAAAGTGTCCAATTTAAGCACAAGTCGTTGAAAACATTAATCACAGTGTTAAATGTATAAAAAAATCGTTAATTTATCGAACTGGCACTAAAAATAATATTTCAAACCAACATTTAAAAGGACAATCGACCAACTTCGATAATAAACCAGTGATTATTATTTTAAAACAGAGAGTTGAGTTTGTATGTTATTTTACACAACTTCATACTTTTATATGGCTTCCAGGTTTTTTATAATAAATGATTTAACCCCGCTTTAAACTAAAATTAAAAGAAGACCACAAATAATGAGCGGAAAAATGGAAATATGCCTAATCGTGTATGAATTAACATCATTACGTAGTATAACATTATGAACCACCTAGTGCGGAGATCTATGATATCAAATATCAATGGACAACGATCAGAATGTAAATAAACTTTGGCTTCAAATTAAAATTTAAAAAAATATTGTTGCTCCAATTAGGAGTTAGGTGATATTTTGACCTGCGTTTATTGTGTTATTATAATATGTATGTATATTACGTATTATGTTCGGTAAGTAAAAAATAGAATAGGAATGTTCAATTCTGACTTATTTTTTAATCGTGTCGGCATTAATATTTTATGCTTTATTATAAACTTATAGGTATAACCAATTCAGACTTTGATTTTACCCTACGGTAGGTACCTGTTGTCACGATTAAATACAATATTAAAACACATAATAAATTTCACTAAACTACAATAAGCATCGTGATGTACAATACAAGTTCAGGATTTTTACCTCATCTGAATCGGTTTTAGTAAACTAGAACTGTTAGCATGCTCGGTCGATATCGGTTATTTTGAGGTCATACAATTTCATAAATTTATTTATATTTTATGTACACATGTTATGTGATCTATGTTAGTAGAATATAGATAGGTAATAGCTAAAAGATTCTGTTATCATTGAACAAAAAAAAAAAAAAATTAAAGAGTGCCAACATAATAATTATGTATAATATTAAATGTAAATGTATAGGTTATATTAGGTATGTATGTTATGTATACTGTTTTATTTATGAAACTACAGGAACAATATTGAGATGATAGGTTGTCCGGTGCTAATAGGGACCGGTTTATGATGTTTTTTTATTTATTTATTTCTATCTATAGGTAGTATTAATTTATTATTATAGACGTATTATAGGAGTCATCTATATATATAAAAAAAACACGTATAATTCTGAGCTTTTTGACTAACCTGAAGCAAAAACAGGGGTTCTTTTTGTATACAACCACGTGGCGATAACACAAAGCAGAACATGTGAAAATCAGAAACACCACTCCGACAGCAGTCATGAGTATCATGACCAAGACACCGGTGTTGGTGCTGTGAGCGTTTACTTTAAAACCGCAATGTAACGTTCCGTACAGGCGAGGTGAAGTTGAATTCCACAATGCACAAATTCAAACATAAAAAATAAACGTAAGCGTTGTATGATTTTGAATGAGAAATCCCCCAAAAATTGTCGCAATTAAACGAAAAAAGTTAACGGACTTGTTATTTTTTTAATTATTTTAATTTTTAATTTTTTTTTTTGTATCACTGATTACCAATAGTTACGAATACAATATCGTGTACGATATATAGGTACTGATGGCGCGTGATTTAATGGATCTGTGATTTTAAATAATAATATTATGTTTTATATTTGGTTCAATAAAATATTATATATATATATCAATGTTTCGGAACAAGTACGATGCGTGCTCGTAAAACAAATCAAAAACAAATTCGCACACCTCAAACACAAACAAAAACAAATAATATTGTTTGTGTAAATAAAAAAAAACATCAATAAAACAAATAAAAAATAAAATAAAATTCAAGTAATTCAACAGTCCAAATTTTCAAGACTTTTGTGTTATTTTGATTTCTCTACCTGTAGCAGAAAGCCATTAAAGCAAAACCTAAGAAGACGAGTTTTACTGAGATTGATAATATCACGACCATTCCTAATGTGCTGATATGTTCCGAATGGGTGTCTGGAAATTATTTGTTAATTTTCGGATTTAATATTTATGATATATTTACTTAAATTATAATATATCTATAATAGTTGTAATATATTTTCAAAACATTCTGTAAAGTAGAAAAATCATCCAATATTATTACTGTTGAGAAATCGTACTTTATATGTTTTAGTAAGAATTTAGATTTCAATGGTTTGATTTTTAAACCGAACTATTAGGTGTTTGGTTTGGTTCGAATATGTGCAATCGAAAACCAACAACCCAAATTTTTTTCGATATAACATCACTACAAAATATTAATATCTTTATAGAGGCCTGTATATACTACCAAGTTAGATGTTCATGAGTTCATCCCGAAAGCTATCAAATATGTCTCGTTTTCATAAATAATCAGTGTCCATATTATGTACAATACTATGATAAGTTATTGGTGAAAACGTCGCGCCTATAGGGTTGTCATTTATTTTTATTCTGGATCAAAAATATATAAAACCACTAAAACGGGTGTGTCGTAAATTCATTGTTATTATTTTGAGGGTTTTTCAAAAGCCCGACATCGGGAAAATAATAAAAAAATTTTTATATAAAGTACCATCTGTGTTCAATTTCCAATTTATATAGGTAGGATTACAAGCAACTTTTTTGGGTGATCCATCTACCTACGCGTCGAAACACATCATTATATAATATAAAACAAAAACGTTTCTAGCTATGCTCAGAATCTAAAATTACAGGTTGTAACGGTAGCAAAATTAATGAAATAAGTTTTTGAAGCGTCTTGAGTTATTTTTATAATACAGGAAAACAAATTTAAGTCGTAGGAGCGAATAAACGAGTTATTGTAAATTGTAAATTGTAATGCATTGATGTAAAAAAATCTTATCCTCGTCGTTTAGGTAGACACATATAATATTTAATTTGAGTACCATATAAAGTATATCATTAATATTGTGTTGTAAATATAAACGCATACCGTCATACCTATTACCTACTACTATACGTATTCCAATTTGCAATCACTTGCTGCTGTATTATTACAGTATGTTAAATCAAATTGAATTTCCCTTTTAATAATATAATAATGTATTCTAATTTATATTAATTATTCCTTCTTCGAATTTCCTCGCCGTTTAGACTGCCAAAGTTACGTTTCCGCATCGATTTACCCGAGTCTTTGACCCCGGGACGTTCATTGCAGCACTCTACACCGGAAATGGCCGACATTTGGGATTAGCCAAAGTTTGTTTTCGAACCAAAGATGATATTGAACAGAGGACAAGAGCTCGGGACGGGCCTGCTCGGTATATACATATTACACATAGGTAGATTAATGACGAGTGGTTACTATTAAGCAAAAAACCGGAGAAGCATAATATGGTTGAATACGATCATGGGGACGTGTGTGCGTCGTCGTTTGAGTGTACTGTTATCAACAGACGAGGAAGGTCGCCGATGAAAACTAGCTGGGTTAACTCGATATCTAAAGGGTTATGCAAATTAATTTTGAAAGTGAAAAGAGAAAAGGGAATCGACGAAGAAGTACGAGTGGTTGAACGTGGTAATGGTTTTTACGGTGATGACGATAATATGTATAATAATATTGGGTTTGTCGGACAACCACCACGGTAATGGATTAAATCGCGAAATTCGATAGGTATCGCCAACATCTGGCCCGAATTTTAGACCTGCGATCCAAACGCGATGGAGCATTATAATAGAAAATAGTTTAATAGTTATTTATTAAATTTGAATACAGTTTAAAAAAAAAACAAAATCATTATGTGCTACAATATACCGATCAAATTGAATATGTATTAATGTGTACTCTGTACCCCCATATGCATATTACACCAACAATTTTACATTTTAGTGTTTCATTTTGACAGAAATAATGTTATTTGTTTTGAAACTAACGATATAATGTAAATTGATAAACGAATTTATTATTTCCACGTATTTTAATTTATATTATAATATATTATAGCGAAATAGCGTGGTGCTCGTGGCATTATTATTTAATAACAATATCATATATTATGATTATTAGTATTATTATACGGATTTATAATGGATAATATTCCACTGTAATAAAATGTTTGATATATTATATGCGATAGTGATGGTACAATAACGGGTTGAATTCGATGAATAAATTTTAAACGCCTGACGTTTCAGTGATTTTAAACAACCATGTTCATGATATTATTATATATTTTTTTTAAATAACAGCACGTCTTAGTCGGTCGAAAAAATATATAATCAACGAAAATCTAGTAAATCTTGAAAATGTGAATAAAAAAATAAATATGAAAATTCATCGCACGTTTCACTGACTCGAAATACTATATTATTATGATCGACGCTATTTGTTTTTGACTCTCGTTTCGAACATTATTTACCGTCGCACGTCGGCTATCGTTCGATAAAATATAATATTACAATATTATGTACATTGAAACGGTACTGTCGGACGATTTCAATATTTTATCGATTTTCAGAGCACAAGGCTGACCCTATTTAAATTTTTTTTTTTTTAAAAACGACCCGGGTATGACTATCATAATTATATATAGATTGATGATGGTGAATGGTTAAGCGAGCTGATGTGATCAAACGTCTGCCCAGTATTTGCGCCGTTATGTGTAAATGTTTACGTGCAGAGAAGTGCGTGGAAATCGTTTTATTTTTCGTTTTTCCAATGCAACTCAACATTGTATTAATATTGCCCTTATATGTTCACCTTTATATTATTATGTCCGATGATACCGTCAACTATACTTTTGATATTTAATTGTCAACCTACATTTTATATTGGGTTAAAATGTATGACGAAATATCGAATGATAGATGAATAACTGTTTTTTTCCATTTATAACTGCGTGAAATGTTTAGATAAAATGAGTGTGAAGAGGGGGGGGGGGGTAATGCACATAGAAAATTGTGGACCACCATTCCATTCATATACGTTTTAAATACTTATTAACGATGACCTAACCTAGCTTTTGATTTTAATATAATTATATGTCAAGATAATTTAATAGAATTTCAATAAAATGAACATGTATAATATAATAATATGATCCTCAAATATATTTGTAATTATTCTGAGGCAGTAAATTATTTTTAAACGCAGTAGATACATGCGTTGATGCAGTCTACATGGTTTTAAGCATGAACTACTGTGAAGTAGTTTATGGTTTCAAGTATTTCTATGCAGTGGTTGATATAGATTAATAATACGACCATAATATTTAGGTAATTTATGTACTTTGGTTGTATAGTTTCCATAGAATTATAATATAATATATAGGTTATGTTTGACAACGGGAAATTTCGAAGAGAATTGTTCGGAAAATGTAAGACCCAAATGCAATAAAACTAGTACATCATATATTATGCTAAACGATTATAAATAAATACCGACTACATTATACAAACTATAATATTATAATTTATAATGCATATAATAGTTTTGCCTCTCGTCTGGTTTATCCATCTCCTTTCGATAGGACTGCACTGCACTTCACTGGCACTTCATTATACATTTGTTCGGTCGAGTCTGGTGCAAACAGTGTTCGATGCAATGTGTAAACTATCATTCAATTTCAAGTGCTATCAGCTCATCGAAATTGTGTCAGGGTAACAACGTTGTAGGGAAATGTAGACGAGCACATTTTAATGGTGTGTGCAAAACTCGGATAAGAGAGTGGGTGAAATAATAGTAGTAATAATAATAATAATAATAATAACAATACATTTTTTTTACATAATTATTTCATATCAATGCATTGCAATATAGTTTAATTACTTATAATAATATTTGGTTTCTTTTCATAGTGATGACCCTCCTCCCTCCATAAAAGGTATGTTTGGTGTCTTTCTCTTAACAGTGGTTAACTATTATTATCTCAAAGAGAAGGTACTAACGTTTTTGAAAATATTTAATAGTCTATTTTTTTAAAGTATTGCATCGTATCTTGTTAATTAGTTAGCAGTGCTAACTTAGCACGTGTTATTTTAATTTTTTTTATCAATATTTTAAAGATCAATAATAATTTTGGATGTAATGCGAGTGTTAACTGTATAAGAACAAAACACTACACAGTATGTTATTATTACTGTCCTGATGAAATCGTCTTCGAAGTCAATAATTGGATTAACAATTTGTTCTGGAATAAGGATAAAAAATGTCACACCGAATGGGTACTCTGCAGTCTAATCTCTATATTGGTTTAATAAAATGCAATAAACAATAAACAATTTAACGGCCCTGTGAGTCACGGTTGATTCAGTTACACACTTATAACCTAAATTACCCATAGCGTATATACGACGTTTAGTAATTTTGTAATAAACGGGATGAGGAATTTAATAATCCGATTTATTTAGTTATATAGGTATATATGCCTACGTACCTACGTATATTATATAATGTAAAAGTAAGATAATATAAAAAGTGTATACTGTATTATTATTATAATAGAGATTCTTATCGAACTACAACTTCAAAAACGTTTGGAAACAAAATCTTTACGAGTCTGTGATTAACAAAACTTGACATTTCTGAAGACGCTCTGCGCCAGTGCTATTAGGGGGTGTGATGGGATACACTCAAAACAGCTTCCCTTTCCTTTTTTTTCCAAGCACCTACCTATACATTGTTAAGATATGCTCAACACTACGATTGATTTTAACTCACCGTGTTAGCGTATACAATGAGATTAATTCTGCAGTTTGTAGAAGAACCAATATTGCTATTTTTGTACAGTTTTTATGAGCACTAAACATTATATTATGTTTTCCTCTGTATCAAATAGTTACGCGATTGCGTCCGCAGAAATGTTGTCACATAATATATATTGGCGAATATCAATAATATTGTTATATCTTACAGTTCCCAACCGTATACCTATTAGAACCTGTGTTATTTCAATTCATAAACATATCGATATCGTGAAGGTACCTAAGTAATTACTCAGAACAAAATATTAAATCGGCGGAGTCTATATAGTGGTTGTCACTGTTAATCGGAATCAATATTTTTACTGTTCGAGTTACAGAACACAGATTTCAACTTTTATGGTATTGTATTTATATTATGTTATAAGACACAATATCGCGAGTGTATTTTCACAGGCAAAATATGGCAGGCACGTTTCAGATAATAATGGTGTAGAAAAAAAAAGAAAAGTGGTATGAGAATCCCAAATATTAGAATATTATCAAATAGTAGGTATATAATAGGTACGTATTAAATTTATTATTACGATATTAGGTACCTAGGTACCCAGTTACTGTGTGATCGTTGTGGTTATTATTTTTTCACGCTGTTTATCGTGAAATAAATTTCCTTAGGTACTATAATAATATTTCACAACATATAAACTGGCTATATTTGGATTAATGTGTGGTAACGATTTAATTATCAATATGTTGTATCTTACCATATGGAGTTTCTTTCATGATCATTTTGCTTTCCAGATCGGATTTAGCTTTTTTTGCATCCTCCGGCGACAGTGTCACAGTGTCGGAGTTTGGGGAAGTAGGCGAAATTTCTAACTGGATAGAACAGTCATTTCCTGTCCAGCCATTATCACAGAAACACTGGTTTAAATTTGAGCAAATCTGTGGAAAATAGTGCGCATTGTTAACGTTATATTATTATTTACCACCTTGGGGAACGTAAGTTCCGTAAGTCAAGTCCACTTACCCCGTGTGCAGAGCACTCTAAATTATTATGATTACTGGGACATTTATTGTGTGTATCGATATACGGATTCATACTCGTGCACGTTTGATTGATACAAATCTGAAAAAATAACGACAAAAATTGAAATCATGTTTTGCAATATGATTGGTAGATAGGTAGGTAGGACAGGTAGGTAGGTGTTATATGGATTTGCTTACTAGATTATCACCGCACGGAGTTCCGTCCTGAACTAAGCTAAATATTTTGGAACCACTCGTCGACCTAAATGAACACATTAGGTATCAAATCAAACATTTTTATTTATTATTGTTATGCATACTACAAGATTTGTTAATAATTTGTGTATGTACACTATGTGTTGGAGCTATATCGGTATTTAAGTTTACAACCAGATATTATATTAGGTATTTGAATATTGAGAAATAATTTAATTTAGTTTTTTATTTTTGATCGTAAATTTGTAAATAGCAGATAATTTCCACCAGTTTATAATTTATGTGAGGTATATATTTACAACCCTATTTAACTCAAGAGTTAAATTGTACTAAAACAAAAATATAAATGGTATATTATTATTATGATATTAAATTGTACTGAATAAGAAAACAAATTAAAGGCTATACCGCTTACGCACAATAAGGTTGTCGGTTAATTAGTGTTTTTATTTTATTTGTATGTATACACTACGCGGCATAGCTCTACATAGACAGTTAGGTAGGTGTACGTTTTAAGTGGTTTTTGGTTATGACTTTTAAGTAAACATATTTTGTAAAATATCTTTTTAAAAACCTTAATAAACTATTTTACAAACATAAATATAATAAGTTATGAATGATAAAACTCGTTTAAAAATTTAAGATTATACTGTTTTTATTTGTTGCTGAAACATAATTTTACTTATTTTAGGTTCGGTTATTCCTCTACCTTCTTCTTACTTTTATTTTTGCATTATTTTTCTTGGATTGTAATGTATGTGAGTTTTTAGCTTTTAATAAAGTTTTAATTACCATTGCATAAATTATAAACTTTATAAACTCTTAAAGTAACTTCTATTACTAACGACTAACCTACTATAAGTTACAACTTATATCACTACTATATTTTGAATAGTTTGTATGTAGTACACTGGGGACCTGTGTTACTATAACCTCTGACATTAGAAAACAGTTTTATAAAGAAATGTATAAACACAGAAACGAGGTAAATTATTTAAGAGGAATTATATATTTAAGCATGAACTCGGAAATATTTGTCAAATGTAAAAATGTTTTGCTTTTAATAGCCTCAAAAAGTCATAAGTAATAGTTTTTTTTGTCAGACTGCCATACATAGGTACTTTTGATTAAATTCGACTTTTGGGAGAACTCGAAGAGTACCAAATTACAGTTAGAGGTTTAAATGTCGGGCAGGATTGCCTTTTATCTTCGTCGTCCTTTGAGCTGTTTGTTGGTGTTAAGTAAACACTACTTGTCGAATTAGTGTTCACTATACCATGTATGATGTTATGCTGCAGTTCTAATAATAATTATTCGGAAACAATAATAATACCACTTACTTGCACTCATAATCCTTAGAATCTATGGAGATTAATGTTTTGGTGTACCTCGGTGCTGACGCGTTTTGAGGATATTTGGTACCTTTTTGACATTGCAATAATCCGCAATACACGTTTCTACAGGGAAAAAAAATTAAAAAACATTTGAACATTTGGAGTGAAATTATTTATACCGGTATTATAATATAATGTGTGAAGACTCACTTTTGATCACATTTTAAGTACGTGGTAGTACCAGCCTCTTCTACCATACCGCAATGTCCACTCATCGATCCCTTGGTGTTGAATTCGTCGTAGCACTGTCTGTCCGATGACACCCCGCCTAAACCGCAAACACGGGTATTGTTTGATAATGATAATAATAATAATAATAATAATAATAATAAATGTATAGCCCGTTTCTGTTGGACTGTCATGCAAACACTAGCTATTACAATCATTCAATTCTTTGTACGAAGCACCGTCGTTGAATACAAATATCGTTGATGGGCTTAAATATTGTACGAGAGAACGCGACCGGTATTATTATTACGTTGTAATTATTGTTAAAAAATCGTATGGATTTTCTCCTATAGATTTAATCGGTTTATACGGAATAATAGACCCTGGTACCGGTGAAAATGTTTAGAGAGAATATATATTATAGTTATTACGAATTTTCCGACGCTCTAGAATATGAAATCATAAAAGTAAATTGATTTTAAAATATACATAATATATATTTGGAAAACTTTCGAGAATAAAAGATTGGAATTTAATGCTCTATTTTTTAGTTTTTTAGTTTTCTTGGAAGAAAATGTTCTTGCAACATTACTGTACCAAAAAACTAGGTATTTAAAAAAGGGTTACTATATTATTTAGAACAACATCACAAAAAACAAAATAAATTAGACGATTAAAAGTAGTTTCCGCTTATTGTAAAATAAAATAGACTAAAACATTATATACTACATATCACACAAGTGTTATTTATCATATTCATATAATCATATTATATTGAATAATAATATTATAATAATTGATAAAATGTTTTATTATATTTGAACTCGAAGACAATATAATAATATATAGTTTATATTAATATGATTTTTTTATTCAAATATTCAAAGAGTACAAGAGAAGAATATTATGAATATACATATTTATTTATCTAAGAGTATGTAATTATTACATTTTTGATAACACAGAGATATTTGCTTTGCTATGAGTAAAAAAAAATATATTTGTGTGTAGGTACCAATTTTATTAAAATTTGCTTAAACAATTCAATTATGATGTTTAATTGGTCAATTCATAAAGTTTCTTAATTTAAATGTTAAATGTAAATATTTTAAATATATAAGTGAGTATTTTAAATCAGGATAATATGGTTCATGTTGCACACAATCACAAAATAATAATTTATACTAAATTCATAAAAAAAACTTCAAACTCTAATCTAACCTCACTTTGAACCGAAATAATGATTTTATTTTTGGTTGGTCATGTTCCAGACCAGGCAAAAAAAAAATCACTTTAGTCAAATATTTCTACTATTAGTTAATGAACTGTTGGTTAATTTAGTTAATCCATTCTGCTTCATTAAGTTCATTAATCGATTTTTTTATGATAAGAGATTATCACTACATCGCTGTAAAGTGTTAAATTAATACTTTGCATTTTTTATACATAAAATAAAATGTAATCACATCGCACTAGATTGTATAAATATTAGGGACTTTGTATGTTTAAACAAAGTAAATGATGACCCAGCATATTTGTTAGAAAAATAATAAATACAGTCAAAAACTTATAAACTACAAAATTGATTATGATAAAGTAATACGACCTTTATTAATACTTATACCCTTTATTAATTATCAAAATGAGTAGGGTAATTTATATAATATTTTATTTTCCGATTAACTAGAAAGATACTAAAATTGACTCCAGGTCAAGATATTGTTAATTCAATATTAGTCATGTTTACTATTATAATAGTACTTAATTTATGACGAGCTATGGTCGAATAAATCCTAAATTTTACATGAAAATGAAAATTATCTGAATAAAATTAAGACTTCTATATAGCACACCTATTTTCACGAAACTTTACCAATTACTGCCTCAAATCTTTATCACCAAATATCATGATTTCCAGCTACATTCCAATCCGTTAAACAAATTTTTACTAGACAATTTTTGCAAAGGTTGAACATCCCTTACTACCCCTCGCCCCCACCATTCGCTCACAAATCGGGGTCAGATATGAGGCCCCGGATATGACTTGTTCGATTATAATATTATATACCTATTAGTTATATTTTATTCAAACTGTAATATTATATACTCACCATAACCCCAAATCTGCTCACATTGGTCGTTGAGCGTGGGACACTCGCCCATGTAACAGAAGCCGTTTTCCGTACCACAAGGGCTGGCATTCTTTTTATACATGTCCGCGGGACATTGGCCACTGTCACCAGTGCAGGTTTCCGGTAAGTCACACTCGTTGTTGGACGCCCTGCACAGTGTACCCACTGCCAGAAACTATGGACAGACACATAAATTTTTGTTTAAAGTATTGTCATAGAACAATATGTTCCATGGTACTATAGTATAGTCAGTTGCGTTAACCGGGTAAATTACTAGGGGAGGAATTAACAATATATTCGCCATACTCGAAACCAGTACAATACTTGGTTGTTTGTTTCCATAAAAGTCTTTAAATTAAATTAGTTATGTCTTAGAAACAGAATACTGTAGTAATATATTGGTACCATATTATCATTGAATTACGTGAAGTATAGGTACACAAGAGTCCATTAAAAAAAGGTACTATAACTATTGTTTGAAAATAATAATTTAATAATAATATAATCCTGTTTAATTATAAATTATAATTCATGAAACAATATTAATGGGTCATTTTTGTAACCCTAAGAATGAGATGACGCTGACAATACGTCAACATAATATTATACAACAGGAAAAATATGAAATAAATATAATACAAGAGGAAAACAATATTTTTATCTTATAAATCTATGTTAAATGTATTACGTCATTCTTTCTTTATTCTAGAAGATTTAAAGATTTTTACTGTTGTCAAATCGGGGGATGGGGCAAAATGATTCCTTTGCCCTCCATCCCTTACCCACAATTACGCCACCCAGTGGTAGTATAGTTGTAGTGGTAAAATTGACGACCGTAATATGGAACATGTAAGATTGTCGAGACCGGAACGAGTGGGAATTTATTGTCGTACTTAACTTCCGTAAACGAAATCTACGGAATCATATACCGTGTATAATACTTATGATGCAACTACTTATTTCTAAGCTCGACTACGTAAAATATTTTGAACGTTTTTATTTTCCAAACTCAATCGAAATCGCTCACCTCCTGTTATTACATCATATTATTATTATAGACATTAATAATTTACCTTGCAATCACTACAGCAAGTCCCAGACGCCGAGCATTCGGCTTCTTTTATCAGTTTGCACGTGATCGGATCACAACACGGATCATTCTTTTGGCAGTTGTCGAACCCACCACAATCGCATTCTTCGTTGTCTTCCACTATGTTGTTACCGCATTTTTGTTGTAAATTAGTGGCCTATATCATAATGTGTTATATAGCAATATACTACACCTAGGACGAAGTGATCCGATTAAATATAATGAAAAACGAAACCTTTCATCCCAAAATCTACCACTATAGAGAGCCTAAAGGGGTTACCTTGGCATGTTCGATAAATGATTAGAGTCTCGATTTTACCTCATTTGGTTTATTGAGCAAGCACATATTTCGAGTTTCCCGAAATTCGTCTATGTAATCGTTGAGGCTGCAATCGCTAAACTTGTACGGCTGAATATTCTCCATGCCCACGATCGATTGTTGCATGATACAACCATGCCAATCGCGACAGTAACATTCTTCTCCTGAAAAATAGTTTATTTTATCAAATTTTAATTTTATCAAATCACTGGGTATGTTTTAACATTGAGTACAACGTTTGAAATACATTTCAATCATGTATAGGTACCTTTGATCTCAGAGTCTAGTGGACCTGAAACGATAGACATGCGACAATACTATTGATATTAGACAATGGATATTTGTATTGGGAGATAATAATTGCAATTTATTATAACTAAATCAAATTTCGTAATATTTTTTATCGTTTATAGGGGCTTTTATTATTAATTATATAATAATATGCATAAGTGATAAGGTAATGTCACACAATATTTTTTATTTTATTAAAAGTAATAACATTTTATAGTTGCATAATGCAACTTGCATTATACATGTGTTTTAATTTTTTTACAACTTTAAACATAATTAACGATTATTTATGTAGGTACTTATAAACATGTATAATATAAAATATATCACGAGGATGTATCAACCCTTCAATGGTGTTATAAAAGAAGGTGAAAAAAAGTGGTTACGTCATCAATTTCCTTTGTAAGCTTTTTCATTGAGTGTTTACGTAGTTAATTATAAAGAAATTAAAAAAAAGTAGGCTATTTATCACTTGGATATGTCTCAAGAGTCAAAAAAAAAAGAAAACTAAAAAAAAAAGGTTGATTACTTTTATTGTAAACACTGTATATTAAACGTCCAAGTCCTTGTGTAATTTATTTGAAATATTGATTATAAATGAATTTAAGTTAAATACATTTCATGACCATACATTCATACTCGTTTAATGTAATATAATATATTATATGATAACATTATTTCATAAATGAGTACAAGTAAATTTAATTTTAAATTTAACTAGGTATGCTGGTGATTTTTTAAAGATGGGAGAATCGCACTTGTACTGAAAGATGGTTAATATCAGCTGTGAATTATACATAATATTGTATACAAGAAACCCTGAGGTGTAATTATTATCATTGCTCGGTTATGTTTATTTATCGCACATAAGAAGGTCACCACCACTAAACGTTGTTTTTATTACATAGTCTTAAGACTAAACCCACATATTTATTACGTTTATATCAACTTGATCTCGAAATTTTCTGAAACTAAGTGAATATTTAATATTATGATTTAATCAGATTCTTAAATGAGAATTAAGCGTCGTCCGTGGGTGGGTTTTAGTTAAGTATATAAGCAAACATAATAAAGTAATAGTACAGATACATAAATGCAGTGATATAAACGTGACCATCATTACGAACAGCTATCTAATATTAGTGGTTTTTAATTACCGTTGCTGTGATCTCGCCTCGAGACTGTGATTTAATTTCAGAGACTTTTTTCTTTTTATATAATTAATTAAAAACCTTGAACTCCACAGTCATCCGAGTATATTATAGTGACTAGTATGTATTATATATATATATATAGGGTCGTTTTCTGACCTAACCACCGCCGTTAAGTATCGTGTGCTCGTTAAGCGTAATCATCGTACTTATTAGTATTATTACACGGTTGGCCCAAAATCAGAGGACGAGGGCGTTTCAGAAATCCTATAAACCCACTTGAGGCCACCGCTGCTATTATATACAGACCGTGCGAAATACAGGCCTCCCGGACGATTCTGCGCGGGGATTTATTTCGCCAGGCTCGGCGATGTGTTTTAACTTTTAAGCACATCATAAGTTAGTAAGTAAGTAAGTTTGTGCACATTGTACGCATCACTTACTCTTGTCATCGTGGCCCATTCCCACGTTGTGTCCGATCATGTGTGCCATCGAACCAGCTATGATGTGAGGTTCGTAGGCATTCACATCCACGCTGATGCCCACGGACTTTGCTGTGCACACGGTCCCATGGATAGCCATCCCCGTCTCGCCGCCCACAAAATATTCTCCACTGGAAATTAGTAAAAAAGATTTCGTCACACAAACGACACAAGTTTTTACTCAATAATAACAATCATGTATTATAATCTAACGGTGTCACAACGAAATGACGTCAAGACACGGCGTGCAGGCTAAATACCAAACCAAATCGAATCAACTGCGAGCAAAATATTACTTTATGAGATGTTTAGGAAACGATGTGTTCGTTTTCTCGAGAATATAAATGTCGTGGCCATTATAAAATACCAAATGGTTCCACGTGGCATCGATATTATGTGTGTGTATAGGTATAGATTTAAATCAGTAACGTGTTTATTAGTCGTATATTATATTATATTATATTATATTATAGAGGTTAAGTGAAACGTAAAATCGTTTCAATTAGTGTACAAGCAATCTAAAAGTAACCGTTTACTGCTGTTAATGTTTAATGAAGAAATATATGGCGTCGATTTAAGTCTATTATTTTATCAATAGGTTACACTACACAGATAACACATAAAATGGTCTATAAATTTCAAACAAATACAATATTTTCGTATTACAGCAGTAGAAAAAAAGTTTTATAACTTTGTTAAAGGATTTTGGTGATTGTTAAAACTGTTATAGTGTTAGAAAATAGCATGTGTAGTGTAAATCAGCCACCTTAGTCTGTATGTAAGTGGTCAAAACTTTCAAAGTGTCTCATGTATTTTACACTACCTATGTAACAGATCGTTTATTTTGCTACTAACTACAACTAACATAAGCACTTTGTAATTTCGGAAACATAACGCGATTCTGTAGTTTTTCTACTTAATTTTATCGTAATGAAAATGCGAACTACACTTAATGTGACAGTATTGCCGTTGCACATTTTCTAAAATTGTTACAATATAGAAAAAAATATTATAGTTTATTTATTATAATGAATCGGAAAATATGTATTATTATGTTATACTCAAAATTATAAAATTTAAATTCAAGTAATATATTTTGTAGTTTAATAAAAACTATTAGCATTTCTGTTTTAAGTAAAATATATCAATTCTTATTCTTCATTGTCTGACAAATTAAAATCAAAACAAATCGTAGGTACATTAATTATCATTGTCCATTGCGTTATGTTTGTATATTTGTAATCAGTGCTCAGTCATATATGAATAAGATTTGTTCGACATGTTTGGAGGACGCCCTTAGAATGAAATATATGGATATGAAGTGTTTTGCATATTTTGATGAAGATGATATATGAAGGGAAAAAATTGTAAATGTGAAGTACGAATTCTATGAAGGACACGTTTGCAGTGATAATAGTACGTTTCATTTAGTGATGGATGAGTGTCGCGGGAGAGAATATTCAAGTGGTGTGCGGAAGAGTGGCAACAGTGGACGCCACCAGTTTTGATTGATGGGAACGGGAAGGGAAAATCGAAAGAGAAGTTTTATAGAAAGTGTGAACAGATATAAAAGCAAATTGAAGACGGCTTAGGTTTTGACGGCAGAGATTGCCTAAGCCTTAATCCATGCGTGGTAGAAGACAAAAAAAAAATTGATTTTTGTATTATGTTCATACATCATGTTAAGTAAAATAACAATAAAAATCATAAAAATCACAACCTAAATAAAATAAATGGGGGAAGAAAAAAATAATTTGTGAACGTTTTTCATGCGTATGATGTATTTATTTCCCTTTTTGAACACAGAATGAACTGAGCAATACGTCGTGCAAATATTTACTAAGTACCCAATGTTATATTGTTATTTCATTATTTGCATAACGAATTCCGACGAATACATTTTAAATAATTTTGCCATTTTCGCATTAAAAACAAAAACAATATTATTATGTACTCACGTTAGTAGTTGAGCAGTGTCTTTGCCGATGTTGAATAGTGCGTGTGACGAGTATTCGTTAAAATTGAGCAATGCAGTGCTAATTTCTTTGTTTTTATCAATTAGTGCCTGGTTGGCCCCTTGCCACGTTTCAATATAGACTACCGACACTCGGGTGTTTATCGTTCGGAAATACTGTGTGGATAGAAACAATAAACAAGCATTCGTTAGATATTAATTATTAACACCATTTTCTGAGGTGAAATAACCCCCCCCCTCCACACACATTCAAATGTATAAAAAACTATGAAAATGTTCAGAAATATTATGATAATCATACGCGTATATTATACGAATAATAATATTATAAACAAATCTGTACTTAAAAACGAATAACAGTGTATTACAAATCATAAAACTCGTATAATTAGGGCAGATAGGTACTCACTAAATCAGCTATGTTTGCGATTTGAATGGCGTCGGTGATTACTTCAGATCTGGAGCTGCCATTTCTCATTTCGAACTGAACAATATTATAATTGCGTTAAAAATGTATTAAAAATATTTGTTAACCGATGACAGGTAAAACGCAATATAATTTACCATAGCCTTATCCAACACGAGAGCGGTCTCTATGTACTTGGTCACTTCTCTGACGTCCCGTTTTAGTCGTCGCTTTTTCCGGAACCGTCCACCGGTAAAACCGTTGGTGTATTTGTTTTTCCTATCCGGCCGCAAGTCGTTGGCACATCCGCGTTTAGCCTTGTCCCGTGCCTCAAATATCACATGAGGATGTTTCTGGTAACCGTAAACGCAACGTTATTAATAATATTCATCAGACTGGGGCAGGTCTGATAATAATAATGATTTCGTTTTTCAAAAAGCCGCCTACGAACGATTTTCGAAAGCCTGAAAAATTCGATCTAACGAGAACTTTTTCTTTTCTTTTTTATTCGTCTCCTTTTCCTCAGAATTCGTTGAACGTGCGTCCTGTTTTTGACTGACTCGCACGTTTTTACGGGGGCGTACTCAGAAAGAAATGGGGTTCTTATATTGGCGTTTAGGTTACGCTAGAGTGATTTTATTTTGAGGTTTCTGTTTTCCCCCTGCCACGTTTGTAGCACTAAAATTGGAACTGTCAAAAACTTCTTTTGCAGCTTCTGTCACCGTTGTGTCCGTATGAAGTGCATTTCAAACGATCTCCGGGGGGCCCATTTCGATTTCGGTGTTTATAGCACGTTGAATAATCGTTTATGGCCTGCCTATATATACGTCCCTACTCTTTTATCAATTCAGAAAAAAATAGGTAATAATTTGAATCACAGAAAATGTTTCGTAAATATACACAGTCCCAGTATACGGTAATTTTTAAAAAAAGTTTAATCATCTATAATTATTTCTACACAAAACTGAGAGTGAGAAGTTAAAATTATTATATTTTATGAGAAAAATATATTTTACACCGTTAATGAACAAACGTCGGTTAAATTTTCCATAAACATTGACAAAAATAAGAAGTTCACTGGATTTAATTATTTTTAGACGTTCGAAATTATTATTAAATTATTAATTTTTGAAAATTAAGCAAATGGATAAGGAAGTTCATCACTCAACAACAGCAAACCTTCTGAAAATTCAGCCTAATTTGCATTATAAATTTAATTATACCGGCGAAGTATGAAAAAATAATATTATTTATTTAACAAACCATAAATTAAACTATTTTGAGGCATTAAACTTATTACAACGAAACATTGAGATTATTTAGATCAGGTGGCTGTTCTAATTTACGTATTACTGTAGCAGACCGAAAAGTTCGCAGTCGGTTGGCACTATCTATTTATTCATTTATTTAACATACATGTACCAAAAAAAAAATGTATATATATATTATATACGTGTCGACTCTGGAATGTTTTCTTCCCACGGGGACTGTCAGTAGCCATGATTAATGACATTGGGTATTCTACTAGTACAATGGTCTACAGATTTCCTCCGGGAAAAAAGATAGTAATACCGAGGCTACTTTCTAAAAGCAAAATATTTCATGATTCTGGAATTTACAGTTATCACCTGGCACGTTCATTTTTCTTATGAAGTGCTGTATCTATTTCACACTAACGTGGACAGTTAGTTGAGAGAGTCTCTCGTTCGATTGTCATATAAATAATATATTGTATATTTAATGGTATATGCATTTTATGCTGGGGTTGCATTAACAATCACTAAATATATTTTAATGGCCAATAGTGAGCAGGTAATGGCCCCTTAAACATGATTTAGTGGCCCATGATTAGTCCATAATATTTTAGTGAATCGTTAAATTAATCAATTGTTTATATGACCCGGTAATAATAATATGGTATATTATCATTAATTATCATTATACTCATTTCACATTCGATAATATTACAGTATTTTTGGTTAGTTCTAAAATAATATTGCTTATTAACGCATAACTGTTGACAAATTGCCTAACTAACACCCCGTGTTTCAAATTTCAGATTCTAATAATAATATAGATGTGATTATGTTTTTAATTTTATTTTTATATCTACTGTTAATAGATAAATCTGATAAATTAAGTTATTGACTTGATGGTCGTTAATTTCTATTTAGTAAATAAACAATTCATTATAACTTAATATTATTATATCCAATATTAAATATAATAGGGTCTGTACAAAAATATATTTATTAATGTATATTGTGCGAAATAAGGTGCATGTTATAGTTCAAGAGGTTTCGTGTAGAGTAAATATTATTTTAAGATTTCTAAAATAAATTTGAACATATATTTTTATCAATACCATTGATAAATATCATTTTCGATTATCATAATATTATAATAATTATTGTTTATGAACAGGTCAAATAATTAACATTTTATAAACTTGCTCATTTTGTAGAATTAATTTCTTTCGTTATACTGACCGACAAGTCTCCACCGTAAAATGGATGAATAATAAACGTTTCGTTGCCAATGTGTATGACTCCGGCTACTCCATTGCATGTATGAAACGCAGCTGTGGCACCAGGAATATCCTTAACAGTTCCGTGATAGTAACAATGTTCAATTTCCTTAAACAAAACACACACACACACACACACATATTAATACATCAAAAGTGTGTGGTTTTTTATTTTGTCCTAAGATAATTAAAATAAACATTTTGATGTGAATCTTGATGTAATATTTTTATTTTTAAGAATTTATGAACGTAAAAAAATTGCAAGATAGTAATATAACTTTTTGCTGAATTAAAAATAAAACACAGAGTTCACGTTTGAAGTTCCCACCAAATAATATTAAAAATGACTGATTAAAAAAGAATTCAACAGCTTTTGTAAAAGGGCTGGAATTTGATTTATGATATGTTTAAAATTAAATTATTTTTTTATTTTGTTCCATATTTTGAGGAATAATTGAAGGCAATTATTTTTCATTGAAAATATAAGATATTTTTTCACCATCCGTATCTCGTTTACGTCATTCCTCTTATTTAAAAGCCGCTCCTTAGCATCAAACATAATTAAATTATGTCGAAAATAATTTTAATCAGCCTTAAAAACATTTTACGACGAACTGAGTACAGTCGTTTTAATTAAGATTCATGGAGTGCAATTTATAAATAAAACTAACAGTTTATACGTACTTGTTTGGAAACCTGTTCAGCTCCATGAGGTAAAAAATGTTTCTGTGCTAAATTCGGTGCTAGTAATTGTCTGTAATAAAATAAAGGAATATAAGTATGTTTTTCTTGAACTTATACACATAAATTAAATAAGTAATGCAATTCCCAAAAAGCCTGGCATTTTATACGAAATAAAAATACAAAAGAGCATAATATATTAGTTGATTTATTACGAGTTAACATTATTAACTTTTTTTCTTTTGCGACATAACATTTTCAAAATAAATAAAATTTAACATTTTTGTTATTTATTTCATTTAAACAGTATTTTGTAATTGTTAGTTCGTGCATGTATAAGGTCCTTGTTTTTGTTTTATACCGAATAAGTGATAATATAGTTAATTTTTCCTCTAATTAAAACAAATTTGGTTATTTACAGTTAATTTCCTCTGTAGTAATACAATTCAACGATACACTTAATTACTAAAATACACAATTTTAATAATTATTGTATATTATTTTAATTCGTTTATAACTTAACCAGACCAGAGCAAAGTTATTAAAAATGTAAGATAAAATAAGAGGCTTTATGCAAATTACAAATTAAAAAGAAAAAAATGATAGCTTAGATTAAATTTAATTACATTTACTAGAGTGGATGGAATAGTTTATTATTTAAAATTATGGTATGAAAAAAAAAGTTTTTACGGTGAATATTGTATCTATTCGTGTATCCATTTTCTAAAGGTTTTAAACAAAAAAAAATTGTCGGTGATTCTATTTCAAACTTGTCAAACATTATATGAAAATGTATACAATATGTAATTTTTAAGTTTACTTTAAATACACTAAATAACCTTTTTAATTATTCTAATCATATACTGTTCGAATAACTATGATCGTTAGGTTAATTGTTCATAAATATTATGATTAATGATTATACGTACAATTCAACAATAGCTGTGGGTTCTGAGGGAGTGATTGAAGTATTGGCTTTACATTTATGTGTGTTTGTTATTTTATTTTTCTATTATAAACTTTTTGAGCAATAAAAATGATTGAGTGTAAACTCAGAAACTCAAAATCGACAGGTTGTTCTTGTCGGCACTGGAAGGTGGATCCTGAGTGCTATCAGAAACTCTTGCTACTGTGGTTGTGGTGATGGTCGCCGTGAACGGCGGACGAAGTATAAACCGATGAATACTTTCAAGGAGCAAAACAGGGAGATTTTTAGATAGTAAAAAGTATACTAAAATTTTAAACTGATAAGGAGTTAAGTGAAAAAGTCCTGGCACATGCGTTATAGGACTCAGAATATTGGGAATTGTTCCATCGTAGATCCTATCGTCGGAAATGCACACATATCACCAGTGTGAGTCTATAAACAAGTCCTCCGCCCATGACGTTGTGTATGTTTTTTAAAATTAATATTCTTATCATTCATATTTTTTCATCAACAATTCAAGTAGTTTTACTTGTATTTCTATGTATGTATTACTTATATTATGTTTTTCATATTTTCACTCATACAACTCAAAATAATATTTTGAATATGTTTTTTTTTTTTATAATAAGAAGCTTGAAGATGTAATAAAATGTTTCTCATAAGTTGTTCATACCCCGATTAAAAGATATCGAATAATAAATACCTTGTCAAATTTTAAATTTCTAAAAATATTTAATTGTTAGTAGCGTGTATTAACCTATTTCCTGTTGGCATTGAAGTGCGTGTATAATATATAATTAGGTACCTACTTATAATCTTTAATATTTTTATCAATGTATGATTTATTACCGTAGTTTAATTAATAATAAAAGTATTAACATTTAATAATTTAAATAGTTTAGTTAGTTTAATTTCTGATAGAATATTTAAAATATTCTAGTAAGTACCTTTAAATAGTCTACACAACAAACCATATTAGTTTGTTCAGTTTATTGATTGCGGCCTTTGGAACACGGTAGGCAGGAAACCCGTGAATACATTGATGGATATACGGAGGAGAGACACTATATAAATATAATATGTATATTATATATATTTATATTGCTATTGACCGGATTCGACCCTAACCCAGTACAGGGTGACCGGTAGTTACAGTGTGATACCGACAGATTTTAGCGAGCTGACGTAGTCGGTGTGCGCGTGGCCGCGTGGGTACCTATATATGCGGATATAGATAAATAAAAAGTAGAATAAAAAAAAAGAATATACGATACGTCATTAAAGGGTGGGAGATTGGGAAGACAATGAGTGATCCTGGGCTGCCATGTCGGATTACTTATATCGGTCTACAAATAATAGGATTTATTCCGCCTGCAGTTCCTTCGATCTTGACGGATAGCATATATTTCGTAATACCCTCTCGATATTCTTCAGCGGCGGAAAGGGGTCTGACAAAATGTCTTTTTGCTATTCGAAATATTGTCGAATCATCGGGAAATCGTTATTATTTTTAATAGGAAAATTAATTTGACTGACATTCGTGTAGAAGAAATGTTTGTGTCAAACATTTTGTGATTATGTGTAGTTGCCAACTTTAGGCTTTTATTCGCTGACTAGGCGTTACTGTCAGCGAAAACAACATATAGCAATGGCTCACACCGAATAATGCGATGAGGCAATTAAAACAATTAAAAACTCACCGAAATGTGACGGTAATTAATTATTTTAATTCAGTTTTACATTAGAAACAAACTGTTTTATATAATAACCGTTTTATGTTAGTAATAATAATATTATCAATTCTAGAGACCTTTTATCCGGCCAGTATGATTTATGATTATATATTTTGTGATTTATATATATATGCATGTGGAATTATGAAGTTTTGGACAAGAATAGTTTAACAGTTTTAAACAAGAATTACACTATAGTGTCACAAAGTTTATCTTATATTTCGCCACTTTTGATCCGAAAAGATTAAGTAGGCCACTGAATTAATAATATAATATACATTTTACATTTAATTATAAACAAATATATTTATCAAACTCTCTTATTTTATTATTAATTATATTTACTTACTTGAGAATTACTTTAAAATGCAAGGTAATAGAATTATATTTAGGTAGGATATACTCCCGTTTGATTTAGTAAATGCATATTTGCTTAATTTATAATTAGTTATTTGAAACCACGCATAATTAATCAAGCACAATATTCTTATTTAGATGATTTGAATTATTTTCACATGAGACACAATGGTAATTTTTTTTATTAATCTTGATTAATTATATATAAAAATATTTTTTGTTTTTTTGTAGGTTTTTATCGGTAAGAGGGAACACGTGTGTGTTTATTTTGGCAGAATTTTTGATTTGGGCACCCTTAGATATCTGTCATGCCCGGGTGGGAGATTATGGCTGCACTTGTTCTCCGGACACCGTGACTTGCCCGAAGAAAAATGCCGCCCATGGCCGAGGTATCGAACCAGAGTCCGCTGCGTCGCAGCCGACGCCGTAGTCCGCTCCACCACTCCGTCCCCCGTAATTTTTTTTTTTTATACATTTAATGACATTCTTTACATTGAGATGTATACTGTTTATTTTCTCGAAAAAAAATATTACGTTAGAAATTAAATTCCATAGGTTTATTTTTATTTTTTTGCAAACACAACCTATCTTTATAAATAGTTAGTTACGTCGTGCACATTCATAATACCTTTGTTCAAAAACTAAATATAATTTTAAATTAAATTATCTTTATATTATACAGTACTATATTATGTACATTACCAGTGATGCTTTAAATTAGGTACCAACCTACATTATTATTACAATAATTTTGTTTCGACTATTAAATTATAGAACCTAGCTGCATAACAGTTTACATTTTACAGATAATTATCTGTATTTTGTTTTATATTATGTTATGAACTTTTGGTAATAAACATAATAATACACGATTGAATATACGACGATTACGAATGAAATAGTTAAATCAATAGAAATAAATGCGAGGACGTTTATAACCTGCAGTACTACCATGAAATAATTAATTATAAAACCAAATATTTATAGAAAATAAATAATATTATATTATTATTATGTAGTAGTGTTGTAGTACTACATATTATTATTAAATGTTTTTAATTAACTGCATATTTTTTATCGCTGTATTGTACAATAGAATGTTTGCTGTAACAATGTAACATAATATTATGGAAAGGTATACATATATTTTATTTGCATTGATATTAAAAATAACATATCTAATATTAAAGTGAAATCCTATCCTATATCTCTCTATTTTATATGCCATTAAAAGTTTGTGACTAAATTAATGTTATACAAATAATATTTATGTCACAAAGTGTTTTGGAATGTAAACACAAATATTGTAATTGAAGAAGCAGGTCGTATGTGCAGTACAATAATAATATGTATATAATATTATTAATAACATGTCAAAACACATTGGAGTGAAAAGAAAAAAAATAACATTTCAGAACCACGACTCGACTGGAGATCCCAAAGTTCACTACGTGATGCGAATTCCTAATCGTGTTTGCGTCTAGCTAGTCTATATTTTAACATTACCAATTCGTTTAATATAAACTTTCCTATACGTTTACGAGTGCGGCTATTATTATTATTATTATATTACTATAGTAGGTACAAATAACGGATTATTTACGTACCTAGACGGTTTGCAAAATATATCAATCAATACGTGACGATTTAGTTGCCAATGTATCCGACTTCGGGTTCGTAATCGCAACCGTATAAGCCCCGGAAATTCACATTGTATTGCATAGTCTTCCTACATTTTTGGATAACAGAATTTCATCCGATCGAATATAATAATATGAACATCTAAAATATGTCGGGAGTTACTTAATCCCGAATCTTACTCTTTTCGATACTTTCGGAATAACTTTGATTTGGCATTTTTACCCTGCAGCATGCAGGGCTCTGCAATACTTCTACTGTATATTCAATTGAAAAAAATATCGAGAAAATTACAATTTTAAAAATCGTGACGAAATCGAACTATAATTATTAATAATAACGTCAACAATTTAGTTCGATACTAATCGTAATATCGTTATTTGTTTTAAATGAAATAATGTTACGAAGCTTATTACGTTATTTTTACTATTATCGGACCCACGCAAAGACGACGGTGATCGATACAACTGCCGATTGAGTTTCGATTCGTCCGGATTTTGTATGTCATAATATTGTTATTAATCAAAATACTTTATCAATGAGACGTTCATTTGGGCGATTGATTGTTATATTATTAATTTTACACCTACGCTTATCACGTGCAGCTGCAAGTCATAATAATAATTTATATACTTTATTATATTATGTTCTCAAATCGTGTGTTTTAAGTTTTAATGATACATTGTTCAGACTGCAGTAGTTTTCTGAACACGATCATCTCAAATAATATTATTATCATGCGTATATGCGTCATTGTAAACAAACATCAACACCGTGTTATTTGATTTGCGAGGATGATACGTTATAAGCGCATATAATATGAGCGCGAACAAACAATCCGAACTTTCGGGATCGGCACACGAAGCAATATTATATTATGAGAATAACATATTATTATTATAAATGGCGTGCACGGTCAAGGAACTTAGGATTAATAATTGGGTTTCGTTAGAGTAATATTTGAACACGAGTAATACGATTACAATACGTTGTAATAAACTGCACAGGACCATCGGCGCGTTTATAAGTAATAATACGGACTGTGCATGTGCTAAGGGCGTCTTTGGAAGGGTGGGGAGGATGGTTTTTTTTATTTGCGTATAATAATGTATATAGATAAAGTCTTTGTCATATAGTAATAAATTAACTTATTGTTTCTCTTTTTAAATTTTTCCACATTTTTCTGTATAGCTATTAATATTATATAACCAGGGCTGAGCACTAAAAAAAACTGTTGAACACGCACGAATAAACACAAAATATATTGCAAAAACATTCAATTTAAAATACTAAAACTGCAAAATTAATTTTTCTTTTTAAATAAAATATTAATAAATAGAATAAAAAATATTTTGTTAACATTTATATTAAAAAAAAGTTATTAAAATTATTATTATCTTATATTTTTGTAGATGACCTTTATGTATATCAAGTTTACGTATATACCGGTATTCTAATATAGGTACCTAATTATTAAAATGTTTTAAAAGTTATTATTTTGTGATACAACATTAAATATCAGTTATGCCCAAGTATGATTTTTGTGTAATTTGATTCAATTACAAGGGATGTTTATGACAATAACAACGACTTAAAAATAGTTTTTTCATGAAATTAAAAAGTTAATTTTTAGAATTATCTTTCGTTAAAAAAAAAAAAATAAATAAAAAGTTGTGAATTATTGGTTATCACGATAAAAATAAACTATAAAATAAAAAAAATATTTTTGAATAATAAAATTTGAAAAAGATTGCAATATTAAAGTATAAAACATAGTTTATTATAGGGATTAGTATTTTAGTATATTATTCATAAGACGTAGACAAATGTAAATTCATTCTAAAATAATTCCATATTATATGTTATAAAAAAAAAAATACATTTTTGGAATAATTAATTTTAGTTGAATCTAAAAGTAGATTTTAAATGTTATAAATTATGAACAATTTAATTAAGTGAAAGACGGAAGTGACTACTATAAAATATCACGTTTGAAAAATAAATGATTTTGTATAATTGTGTTATACCTATTATAAGCAAGTATATGATTTATCTACTATTATTGTTAGGTATCGAAAATGATCATGAAGTTATTTTAGACATATTTTTCGTAGTGTTGTGATTTTGTACTATATTTTAACGATAAAATTTTCAAAGATAAACGTTTCTACTTTTTGAAATCGTCGTTTTTAATTAATTTGTCTGCATAGGTTTACGTCGTACATAGGTACTTAATGTGTAAAGAAATATAATATAATATAGTAAATGCGCCATTGATCCCATATAATATATAATATTGTAGACTGTACAGTGAGTGTTTAATACGTGTTCATAATTTATTGAGTGACCCCATAGCAAAAACTCTGGATACGAGACCGTACAGTATAATATAGTAGGTAGTTGTACACGCCAAATGAGGACCCGATGATAGGACGCACTAGCACGTAAGGCGTGTGGGGCGAGTTGTCGTGCACGCTCGCGCACTCTACATTATATACCTACACGTACAATAATAATAATAATATGGCGTGCATCCAGCGAGAACCGGGAGACCTGGCCCAGCACAGTTATAATGCCATTCTCTCGTCAGTGGTTATATAAACGACAATTCGAGAACGATGATTGATTATCCCCAGCTGGAGTTCGGCGGTGGTGTCCAGGGCGGGAGGAGAGTCGTGGTGCGCACACACGCACGCACGCTCTCACACACACACACGCGTATACCTAATGAAAGAAAACCAACCCTCTCCGCCCGCTGCAGACATCGTCTTCGACCCGACAACGCTCCGAGTATTTCCCCAGAGTTGCCCATCCATTACCGCACCACTACCACGGTATATATTATATATATATATATGTTTGTGCACGCCGGTGCACAAAAATATATAAAAGCTTGCCGCGGCACACGTATGAGTATATACGCGCTCTCTGCGCGACGTACTCGCTTGTCGCACACGCGACCTACCCGCCGTCACCGACGCGCGTTTCGTCCAGAAAATCCGCAGGGAGGCGTGTGAAAATGTGTTTTAAAATAATATTATATCAGTCCGGTCGGAAATTTCGGTTTCGGCGCCGCCGCCGTCGACACGGCTATCGATCAATGTTGTGGGCGCGGGGCTAATATACGAATCGGTACGATTAATGGGCGCGAGAGAGAGTAGAGCTTCCACCACTACCGACACACCACCTCCACCACCGCCATCACCACCCTCGTCATCACCGGCCGAGCAGAGAACATTCCACGAACACAGAACGACGTTTTCAAGGAGCGCGTGTGCGTGAGTGTACGTGATCTCGTGATGATAGCAATAATAACGCGCGTAGTACGGCTCCGGTGTTAAATATAAAGTGAAAAAAATATATAATATATATATTTTTATTATAAAAAGGGTGGAAACGAGACGACATTTTTTCATTTTTCCATTTTTTTTTAGCGACACGTGCGTGTAATATGTACGCCGTCGATGTTGGTTCGCGCTCGTGACAATCGGACGAATTAAAAACCGTATAATCGTGAAAGAAACGTAATATGTTATTAAAATAATATATACCGCGGTATTGTGGCTAATGAAACATTTTATTTTTCCGACAACAATTCGCACGTGCCATCGATTAACGATTTTAACGTGTCCGCGAGAACAGAAAGTGCACGTCTGCGCGATTAAAACGGACGGATAAAGGTCGTGTTACAGCAACTACAAGTTACAAATGCAGCAGGTACCTGTATTTTATAGATCGAGTCGTCTGTAGTTCGTCAGACGAGAAGGAAAGAAAAAATCATCATCGTGATAATAATGTATTATCGTCCGTTATTTTTAACATTATAATATCTCACCGTCATCTCGTTCGTTTCTTTGAAAACGGGCCCCAACACAATTTAACATTAAATAACGATGAGTGCGTTTTAGATCGAATTTTCACAATATATATTATATTATATATATACCTGCCGATTATAGGTAAAACATAAATTGTTAGATTCAGAGGGTGATACATTAATACTATAGTGACTGATGTTGTCCGTCGTTCGCCATCGGTATCCAAAACTAATTTCGTTCTGTACAGTTATATGATTTTCTGTTCAATAGTTTTTTTATTTTTTAAAGTTACAATAATTTTACATAACAAGTCGCGCTTGCCCCTTTCCTCTGACGGCCGTATGGTGGATTCTTAAATTATAATTTTCTTGTTGATTGATTAAAATGCGATCTGAACATTTTCGTTCGGTTTGTGTGGCCGAGCGTGCAACGACAAGACGCGCAATTCAGACTGATAATATTGATATAATTATTTCTTTGTACAAACAAATGACAAGACAAAAGATGGATGAATATTATTATTATTTATCATTATGTTGGGTTAAGAATAATAGCGGTAAAGCATAAAGCGTACACGTTTAATAATAATATACACATAATATATGAATAAAGTACAATATACTACCACAACAAAAGTTTATCCAATTAATCTTCGCTCAGACCCCCCACCCCACTATTTATCTTTTAAATTGTTGATTCCAACAAAATGTTGTAGAAAGCGTAAGCGAAATCTCTTAAACCAATATGAACTGAACAAGTATTATACCGCAGTACAGAAAGATCGTGTGCCGAGCGGTGCTCGGAGGGATTTATAACTGTGTATTTTTTTATTTTTTTTTTAGCGGAATTCCGAAAACTGTGGATTATCAGTTTAATATTATTAGAGACGAAAATAATTGACGCGAGCAAAGCGACGGCTCCAGTTTATGTATATTATAATAATATGTACAACACTGATGGAATGACAAATACCTCTCTATACAAGTACTCTTACTCGTATACCGCGGTATACGGAAAACCCGTAATAACATCTTCTGTCAGTCGTGTCAGCCACGTTGTGTCAAAATCTGTTTTCGAATATAGTACGATTGCTCAATCAGTGACAAAACCCAACCTAACAAAATATAATATCGTATCCAATTTATTATTACCATTATTATTATTATAAAAATTGATGCCCCAAAAAAAATACGCTAAATCACACACTGCGTAGAATAACACTCGTTGAATTTATCCGAAACATATAAATATATAATAAAACTTAGGTATTGTATAATAATAAACTATGTAAATGGTTAAAAATGTATAAAATTATTTATCGTTTGTTATTTTGATATACATTTGTTATTTGATGTGAACAAAACTTAACATCCAAAAAAAGAAAGAGTAATATTTTCAAAATTTTTAAAAAAGTCTAACATTAAACTCTTGTGATATTAAACTGTTGACTATATTATTGATGCCTTAATGGCCAACCACTATACAGTTAATGTTAAATTTGTTTTAGAAATATGAAGTCTAACTATGTAGGCTATTTCAAATTTTTAAGAAATGCTGTGAAGTAAAATATTATAATCTTCACCATCCAAATGTAATTAATTTAAAAAAAGGTGGAAAACAGGTAACTGCTTTACTGCACAATAGATGGTATCGAGTACACATCGTCATTGAGTCGTACACTGTAATGTACCTATATGTTAAATTTGAAACCAATGATAATTTATTGTATACGAAAAACGATACTGAGGGAAGACGGTCTGTCGCCAATATTACTATACTCTGTTCCACGAGAGATCATGCCGGTTCTGCGCATCTCCCTGCGTCTCCCTACTGTCGAAACTGGTTACCCTACGACAGGGTGTGGCGTAGGGGAACCAGTTTTGGTCGGTGCGCGGCATGATCTCTCGTGGAACAGAGTGTAAGTTTATTTCATGTTTTGTTTTTTGATATTGATAATTATTTTACTGTTAGTATTACGAGAGGTTGATTTAATTTTGGCAGAAAACATTGCATTTATTATACTACTAATATTTAATTGTAATAAAACCTTGAAATGCTTGAAAATTTAATACAAAGCTCCTCAAAATAATGTAATTATTTACATTATTTATTATTTAAATATTAATATATAATAAATAGCAGCATTATCATGGATGGTGAATATGCATTATGTAAATGTAACAAATTCCTGATGAGGTTATATCCATGGTAATAATATCAAAAGTTTAAAAATGTTGAAAAAAGAATGTTCAATTTTTACCTGCCGAAAGTAGCAACTAGATCCAATATATAATGCTACCAGAAACCTTCATCAAAGCTGATGTTTAAACCATTTTTTCTACTAGAAAAAGTGTTGTCAGACACAAAAATAAATAAAACCACACAACATTGTAAGAGGAATACATTCATTGCTCGGAGTCTAAAATTTAAAATTTTAAATGAAAATTAATCACAAAAAAATAATTGACGAACATGGGGCATTCTTGTAATACTTTTATCGTACTCATATTATATAATATATATGAATACAGAATAATTAATATGGAAAATTTAAGATATTATATAGCTATATAATAAATATGTTTCATTTACAACACGCGCTAATTTTAATTAGTTTTGCTAAATCATTAAGTGGAAATTTATGAATTGCCTAATGAATTCGTATATGACTGCAAATACGCGTATGCACAATACTTAGTGATATCGAACGAATTTCGGTGTAAAGGGTATTATAACATTTCCATATTCCATGTAGGCACATTTTGTTAAATACAACAATACGAACTGATTTATAGTATAAAACCATACACAGGTACACATTTTCGTCCCGCTGAAAACATTTTTACGTTGATATTGTGTACAATATTGCTACCTAGCTAGTTATTTGCGAACCGTGTTGCCAAATTTACCGTAATCGAAATTTATGTACAGAATAAAGGATTGGGTACGGAAAAAATAAACGTTTTACAAAATATAATAATAATATACTGATCAAGGTTTATACTGTTTCTTAATGCAATTGGATTTATGTGAACATTTTACACTTCAGAGAAACGAAAAATGTTACGTTTTCACTCGGTTAAATCAAAACATGATTGGTTAACATAAATAACTATTATTTACACACACACACACACACACACACACACACACACACACACACACACACACACACACACACACACACACACACACACACACACACGTGTGAATATGTTCATGTGAACGGCCTATTTTGAAGAATAAAGGATAAAGAAAAAATAATTATTTTATGGTAATATTCTATAAGCGATGCGTAAACTTTGCCATTTCGAGATTTAAAATCCTTTATTATTTTTTTTCTAATAATAATATGTATATATAGAGAGGTAGTGACACGACGGCTCAATCATTTTCAACCACATTGCGTTTTTAATTCATTGCAGACCTGCTGTTCTCATTTGCACTGTTACACTCTCGTTTAATAGCAGAAATATATTTTTTCTCATTTCCCTTAGCGGAACTGCAGCAGCTTTCAAGAAATAGTACATGGTAAAGCTATTGTCCCAAGCCACAGTACCGAATGATCAACGTGTTTCTTGAGTTGTTAAACAACCAGGCGTGCGCACCACCTATTGTTATCATTAATACGAAAAAAATGAATGGGGAAAAAAAAACCAGCGAAAAACTATTAAAAAGAAAGGAAAATACCATTTTTAGATTCCGAGTGGAGCTATGAATGTATTGATTTTACAATAATGTGTGTGGGTATTTTTTTTATCTGTGTACCTACATGTTGTATAGTAGAAAAATGTATCAATTTTTAACGTTGAGGCTAGTTATTAGTCTGTTTATTTTCGGTAGGAAATTAGATCTAGTTGGTTCTTCTGGGAGGTTGAAAATTAATTCTGTTGAATGTTGAAATTACCAAATGGAACGTTCTTAGGGCTTTTAATTATAACGAGAAAAAACTACAAAAACCACAAAATTAGGAAAAACGGGAGTTTTTACACAACACT